GTGTGTGTGTGTGTCAGTGATCTCACCTGAGTGCCGATACAGTCACCCGACTGTAAGAATATGACATTTTTTCTCTCTTCTGTCCTTATAATTAGAGCTGAGAATGAGATGTCTCTCTCCACGAGCTTTAATTGACCTTTACCAGTGCTCTCCAGGGAACGAACACACACACACACACACACACACACACACACACACATATCTCTGCATCTGGCTGTAGTTAGAGCTCACACACACACACACACGCTGCAGTGATTTTATCTCCATCAGAGGAAGTAATTACACATTCTTTTATGATCACAGACGTTTGAAAGCATTTCTCGTCATCTGTGGAAGCAGCAGTGAAGGATGTTGATGTGTGTGTGTGTGTGTTTGCGGTGTGATATGAACACACAGTAACGGCTGTTTTCTGTGTGCAGGGACGGCTGTGTTCACCTGTCAGGGGCCCGAGGGACTGTGGGACCAGCAGGGGCCCGACCTCAGCAACTGCACCTCCACATGGGTCAACATCATCAACCAGAAGGTTTGAGAAACACACAATCAAACATATGTATGGGATAATGTACATTTAGCCTCATTTTGACAAATTATTCAACAGTTGGAGCTGTCATTTGATTGGTCCAAGCCAGTGTTGTTATTGTTAACTGAAGCTTGTATTAAAGACCGGCAAGAAAGTTGTGAAATGTCCACACCAAATGCTGAAGAAGTTTGCTAATGGAAAATACTTTGTTGCGTCAGCTCAAAAATTATAATCTACAATTCCAACGACAGGAGAAGCTCGCACACATAAGAAATTACCAATTGCTTTTATTCATATTACATTTCGCCTTTGCACTGAGCATGTTGCACTTTTTTTTTTGCACTATTTTGTGAATTGGTGAAGTTCTGCCTTTACACTGAGCATATTGCACTTCTTTGTGAATCAGTAACGTTTTCTCTGCATTTTTTTTCACTTTTTTAATAAATGTTTACCTTGTTTTTTGGTTTTTTTTTGCCTATTGTCTTTACGCTGAGCGTGCTGCAGGTTTTTTTGTGAATCAGTACTGGTTTGCCTTTGCACTGAACTTGTGGCACTTTTTTGCACTTTTTGGCCTCTGAATAAAGCATTTTGTAAAAACATTATGTGTGCAACCTTCTCTTGTTGGACATAACTAAAACTATTACAAATCCTTTTCTGTCATTGAAATAAAGCTGAAATAAAATTTAATGTTTTATATATATATATATATATGTGTGTGTGTGTGTGTGTGTGTGTGTGTGGGTGTTTTGAAAAGTTTTCCTTTTTTTTCTTCATAATGTATCCTTATGGTAGAATTTGACTGTAAATTGACCATTTTAAAGCTGATATTAATAACTAACTAACTCCCATTAATATTGTCATCCATGCATTGACTGGGACTCAAACCCATGATGACCTTGGTGTTGTTTATCGTCACGCTCTACTGTTTGAGCTGCAGGAACATTAACACCTATTTCCAACACCTTCAGTTCTGCTGACCATCATCAACACAAACACACACCTGCAGAATAATCGCTTTACTCAAGCACTTCATTCAGAGGTTTGGTGTAAATGAACCAGATAAAAAAAAAAATAAAAAAAATTATCAACTGATTTGATATTTCGCATCTTTTTTTTTTTAAATACATGTTTTTTTTTTATGTTAAACATTATCTTATGCCAGTGTAACAGAGAGAGCTGGAACTGTTTTGAAAAGTTTTCCTTTTTTTTCTTCATAATAAATAACAAACCACAGTGGAACTCTATAGTGGACTACAGGCTATTTTTTCGCAGCTGTTGCAGAAACATTTTTAGAATAAATAAGGATGCTGATTTGATCTTAAGCTTTGAATTATTAGACAGATTAGATGGCTTTGATATTTGACCACCATCAGTATTTATGATAATACTTGGTTACAATGACCGTAATAATTTCTGTCGGGAATGCAAACTCATGCAAAATCAGTTGGTAGTTGCTGATATTTCCAATAGGTTAACGAGACACTGCACATATTCACTCGCATTTGCTCCCATTTATTTCTGATCACAGAAATAGCTTCGCTACACAACAAACATATGTTTAGTCTAATAGTGCGCATATTTGGAGAAATATGTATTCACATATTTACCTCATATTTCTTTAGATAGAATGATAATTTCTTAATGACTAACAGAGAGACGATTTTCTGCAGATCCATCAGTCAGTGTTGCATGATCATAATTTCCAGCTCCGATGACGGTAAACTTCTGCATTCTGTCTCAATACATGACTAATACAGATGAAACATGAAGCTAATAAATATGCGATTAAGATAGAATATGGTTTATATGTGTTTTTCATGCTTTGTGTGGCATTTAAAAAAAAAAATAATAATAAAGGATGTTTACATAAGAAATGATAAACCGGTGTTCAGTTTATTATAAAAAGCTACACATAATAGTCACAAAAGCCGGAGCACTGACCCTTAAAGTCCATTTCTGGTTTTATTTATTTATTTATTTATTTTTTGACTGTTATGTTTTAGCGTTTTACTTGGTAAATCGAGTTCCCGAAGGGGAACCTTGTATCCTTATGGTAGAATTTGACTGTAAATTGACCATTTTAAAGCTGATATTAATAACTAACTAACTCCCATTAATATTGTCATCCATGCATTGACTGGGACTCAAACCCATGATGACCTTGGTGTTGTTTATCGTCACGCTCTACTGTTTGAGCTGCAGGAACATTAACACCTATTTCCAACACCTTCAGTTCTGCTGACCATCATCAACACAAACACACACCTGCAGAATAATCGCTTTACTCAAGCACTTCATTCAGAGGTTTGGTGTAAATGAACCAGATAAAAAAAAAAATAAAAAAAATTATCAACTGATTTGATATTTCGCATCTTTTTTTTTTTAAATACATGTTTTTTTTTTATGTTAAACATTATCTTATGCCAGTGTAACAGAGAGAGCTGGAACTAAGCAGTTTGTTGGTTGATAATAACTCCTGTTTGTGATCAGCTGTGTGTGTGTGTGTGTGCGTGCGTGCGTGCGTGCGTGTGTGTGTGTGCGTGCGTGCATGCGTGTGTGTGTGTGTGTGTTGTAGATCCGAGCGGGTGAACCTGCGGCCATAATCTCCCGTGAGCTTTCCGAACAGACCAAGGGTGACATGCACGCAGGTGACATCACCTACACCGTCCGGGCCATGGGTCACCTGATCGACCTGCTGGACGTCCAGCTCAGGAATCTCACCCCCGGGGGAAAGGACAGCGCCGCTCGGAGCCTCAACAAGGTACTGCATCTGTCATACAATATAATATCAGTCAATAAATGTCAAGTCAAATGCATTAGTATAGCGCTTTTCGCAATACTGTTTCAGAGCAGCTTTGAAAATCTTAATGTCTTCAAGTCGTGTTTAGCAGATTAGAGCCGAGCGATTACATAGTTGCATTTTGTGATCTGAAATCATTCATACCGCATCATACTGCCTTTCAATAAAATGGTTGCTCAGTTTCTCCAGATGTTTGCACAGAAATGAGTGTAAAATGTATTTGGACTGTGAGGTCACAGCATCCCGGACTGATTATTTCAAACAAAGAGGAATATGTAATGGATGTACAGTCAGACGGTTATTTTCACAAATGGTGCAAAGCTCATTACACGGCTACTTACCAGATAAAATAATAAAGGGACATGAAATATTGATTTGAGTTGAAATGATTCTGTTATGTGAGAAGAAAGAGAGCAGAGAGAGTACAGAAGCAATGAGCAAAAATCCCGATCAATCTGGCAGTGTTTATCCTGTGATAATGACCTTCTGACTGTACATGTGTTACACAGATACTCACAGGTGCAATGGACATTTTTTTTCTTATTAAATAAGTGCAAGAAGTAGCTTTAGGTTCTTATTTTCACTAAAACAAAACAAAACAAAACTAAGTGTCCTTCAAAGATGTGATGCCTCTAACCTGGCAAACTTGGGCAAATCCACCCTTGTAAAAAAGGAGTGTGCTTAATTGTATTGAATGTGCGCTTGTAGTACACTTCAAATCTTAAAAGTATATATATATATATATATATATATATTGGAGACGATAACAGAGATGATAACGGTATTGGACACGATAACGGAGACTATAACGGAGATGGTAACGGTATTGGAGATGATAACGGAGATGATAACGGTATTGGAGACGATAACGGAGATAGATACGGTATTGGAAACGATAACGGAGATGATAACGATATTGGAGACGATAACAGAGACGTTAACAGCATTGAAGACGATAACAGATGATAATGGTATTGTAGACGATAACAGATGATAATGGTATTGGAGACGATAACGGAGACAATAACGGAGACGATAACGGTATTGGAAACGATAATGGAGATGATAACTGTATTGGAGATGATAACGGAGACGATAACGGTATTGGAGATGCTAACGGAGATGATAACGGTATTGGAGACGGTAACAGAGATGATAATGGTATTGGAGATGGTAACGGAGACGATAACGGTATTGAAGATGGTAACGGAGATGATAACGGTATTGGAGATGATAACGGAGATGATAGCGGTATTGGAGACGATAACGGAGACAATAACGGAGACGATAACGGTATTGGAAACGATAATGGAGATGATAACTGTATTGGAGATGATAACGGAGACGATAACGGTATTGGAGATGCTAACGGAGATGATAACGGTATTGGAGACGGTAACAGAGATGATAATGGTATTGGAGATGGTAACGGAGACGATACAGGTATTGGAGACGATAACAGAGATGATAACGGTATTGGAGACAATAACAGAGATGATAATGGTATTGGAGATGGTAACGGAGACAATAACGGTATTGAAGATGGTAACGGAGATGATAACGGTATTGGAGATGATAACGGAGATGATAGCGGTATTGGAGACGATAACGGAGATGATAACGGTATTGGAGACGATAACAGAGATGATAACGGTACTGGAGATGGTAACAGAGATGCTAATTGTATTGGAGATGGTAACAGAGACAATAACGGTATTGGAGATGGTAACGGAGACGATACAGGTATTGGAGACGATAACAGAGATGATAACGGTATTGGAGACAATAACAGAGATGATAATGGTATTGGAGATGGTAACGGAGACAATAACGGTATTGGAGATGGTAACGGAGACGATAACGGTATTGGAGACGATAACAGAGACGTTGACAGCATTGGAGACGATAACTGATGATAATGGTATTGGAGACGATAACAGAGATGATAACGGTATTGAAGACGATAACGGAGATGATAACGGTATTGGAGACGATAACAGGGACGTTAATGGTATTGGAGACGATAACGGAGACAATAACGGTATTGAGACGATAACGGAGATGATAAAGGTATTGGAGACGATAACGGAGACAATAACGGTATTGGAGACGATAACGGAGACGATAACGGTATTGGAGATGCTAACGGAGATGATAACGGTATTGGAGACGGTAACAGAGATGATAATGGTATTGGAGATGGTAACGGAGACGATAACGGTATTGAAGATGGTAACGGAGATGATAACGGTATTGGAGATGATAACGGAGATGATAGCGGTATTGGAGACGATAACGGAGACAATAACGGAGACGATAACGGTATTGGAAACGATAATGGAGACGATAACTGTATTGGAGACCATAATGGAGACGATAACGGTATTGGAGACGATAACGGAGATGATAACGGTATTGGAGACGATAACAGAGATGATAACGGTACTGGAGATGGTAACAGAGATGCTAATTGTATTGGAGATGGTAACAGAGACAATAACGGTATTGGAGATGGTAACGGAGACGATACAGGTATTGGAGACGATAACAGAGATGATAACGGTATTGAAGACGATAACGGAGATGATAACGGTATTGGAGACGATAACAGGGACGTTAATGGTATTGGAGACGATAACGGAGACAATAACGGTATTGAGACGATAACGGAGATGATAAAGGTATTGGAGACGATAACGGAGACAATAACGGTATTGGAGACGATAACGGGAGATGATAAAGGTATTGGAGACAATAATGGAGATGATAAAGGTATTGGAGACGATAACAGAGATGTTAACGGTATTGGAGACAATAATGGAGATGATAAAGGTATTGGAGACGATAACAGAGATGTTAACGGTATTGGAGACGATAACGGAGATGATAAAGGTATTGGAGACGATAACGGAGACAATAACGGTATTGGAGACGATAACGGGAGATGATAAAGGTATTGGAGACAATAATGGAGATGATAAAGGTATTGGAGACGATAACGGAGACAATAACGGTATTGGAGACGATAACGGGAGATGATAAAGGTATTAGAGACGATAACAGATGATAATGGTATTGGAGATGGTAACGTTATTGTTTTCAAAAAGTTGCACTTTGAAACCCATTTTCAAAAGTTTCAAAACGCAGTTGTCATTTAAATGAACGGATGAACTGCATTAAATGTTTTCAGTTTTTAGTTGGAAAACAAAATGTCGTGCAAAGGCCCACTCGCTCATTCTTACATGAATGGTTAAAATGAATTTGATTCAACACGCAAGTTTTTATGTATGTTTACGTAAGAATCCTTTAACACAAAAGTGCATGAGAATTTTGACTAACACTTACATCTTTTTTTTTTAGATAGTTTGATGCTAGCATTTATCTAAGTTAATGGTACGCGACCCTAATCAATTATTGTGTAAAATTGTCCCTTTTAATCAATAGTTTATGGGATATAATGAAAATCCAGGTGTATTCGAGGATAACCAGCTGAAGTGTTGCTAACTTATTAGGAAATCCTTCAAACTTGCCGCTAAGAATGTCTTTCAAAGACCCAAATGCCATGAATCTCACAAACATATTCAAATTCAGTTTTTCCTCCTCACAAATGCTCATTGTATCAACCTGCTAACTTTGAAATCGTGTCCCGGTGGACTGATAAAAACCTGACCTTGAATAAAATGCTAGTAGTCAGCCAATCAGGTTGGAGCATGTGGATTTTGTGGCATTTTTACATTCAATATGCATCAAACAGTTGGTGGACGTGTCGCCTGAGGCAGAAAACCAAACGCTGTTTATGAGGCAAACCAGTCTGACGTATCTGGACTGCAGTGGACACATGACGCATGAGTTTATATGTGATGAGTCTGACAGTGGCTTGGAGCAGCTAATCATCACTTATTATTAACGCTGTCAAGAGATTAAAATTTATCTAATTAATTAAATAATTTTCTGATTGATTAATCAAACTAATCGCAAATTAATCACACATCAATTTGGTCCGAGAAATTACCCCCCAAAAGATAATTTAAAGTTATTATTGTTTTAGATGAGAAAAACATTGGTAGACATTACATAAAAGCAGCTTTAGAATACAATGTTTTGATTCAACATTGCATTAATAATAATAATAATAATAAATGGGTATTAATGGGTTTATTAAAAAATAATATTAAAATATGAAATTATTTTTTATCAATGAAATGAAAAAGTGCCAGTAGGTGGCGGTGGTCTTTATGAATGAGTCACTGAATCATTGACTCACTCGATTTGTTTAAACAGCTGATTTAGTCAGAAACGAAGCAAGTGACTGTCTATATGAACGAGTCACTGAATCTTTGGCTCATTCGATTCGTTCAATCGGCTGATTCAATCAGAAATTAAGCAAGTGCATGTCTTTATGAATGAGTCATTGAATCATTCGCTCACTCGATTTGTTTAAACAGCTGATTCAGTCAGAAACGAAGCAAGTTGACTGCCTATATGAACGAGTCACTGAATCATTGACTCACTCGATTCATTCAATCGGCTGATTCAATCAGAAATGAAGCAAGTGCATGTCTTTATGAATGAGTCATTGAATCATTCACTCACTCGATTTGTTCAAAACATCGGATTCATTTAGTTAAAAAAAAAGCTTTTTGCTCTGAGACCTGCAACGATTCTGCTATGGCTTTGTTTGGAACCATTTTCGTTGGCGAAATTGCACAAAAACAGACAATACTGTGTCTAAAATGTAACACAATATTAACTTCATGTTTATTGAACTATCAAATCAATATCACATTTGCAATCGTACAAATATTCGGGGAAAACAGCTCTCTCGCTCGTATGATATTGCTAAACTATACACATTTTCTCCCCTCATATCTTGAATTTCAGGGCATATAACTGCATTCATAGGCTACATCACACAGTCAGTCGTCATGCGTCCCGTGTTCATCAGCAACTGCATCAATGTA